CATGTGCGGTTTTTACTATTAACAGCCATGAATTCTAGAAGCATTTATCTTTTTTTGCAGATGCTGAAGTTAAATACAGTTAGAACAAAAAACGGGTGACATGTTGTCATATTGTTAACAAATTCGCATTCGGCGGTCCAATATCAGTCAGAACTTTGTGTCGATACAGAACATTCTAGAGCTGAGGAACGTTCAGATTAGTGCAATTAAAGAGACATTTCGGACGTTTCAAGATAAATAAAATCACACCGAATTCAGGCAGGTCGCAAACATTCTCGTCTTGTCAAACTTGTATGGAGACGCGCGAAATAATTAGGTTCTAGTTTTTTAGTTTGTTAGTAAAAAAGTGGTTTTAATTGGATTACTTGGTTATCATCTTTTAATAATTAAAACTATATTAGTCTCTACCTACCTACCGTTACAATATGTAGACAGATATTTGATATTTGAGAAGTTATCTTTGATATTTTACTTAGCCCATTCTTGTACACACTTCGTATACAATTCTTAGGTTTAACTTTAGATATGAGTTGCAAATGATGATTAACCTTTTAGGAAAGGAAGAAAAGGAAACATTTTTAGCTTGATTAGTTTTGGTGGGTTTATAAAATTCCAATTTCAGTCAAAACTAGATTGAACCGAGTCAAAGCGATTTAACCGAAAGGAATAAACTTCATATTCGGAAGTTTTTGGGACGCCTATTCGTTATGGTGTGATAGTGAGGGCACCGGTGCATTGGTAGTGGTACCTCTGCCGTAAGTTCATCTTGGTGGTTTAATTTAGAAAAAAATTGGCATGGCTAGTAAAAAAATGATAAAATGTCATTACTTTCTACCATACAGAATATTTATTTTGCCAAATAAGCAAAAATTTTGATTTATTCATAATTTTTTCTCAATAACCACTAACCAATTTGCAACCTACGACTTGACAACTAGTTAATTTGTTTAATTTTGCACTTCTTTAGTTTCTACTGTTTTCCAGTTTTATTTTTATACCTATTTTGTAAAAGTCGTTCAGTTCACAATAGTAATTAATAAGAGTTGTGTTATTTTTCGTGACAAGAGTTTTAAATAGGCCGGTGATAGTGGTAGCGGCAATTAAACACTAGTACAACGGCTAGGACAAAAATGTTAGAATTTTAGTAGGTACTTTCAATTGATGTTGAAGTTTTTGCGGTAGGTATGGGATATCGCAGCAGAAAACGATGTTGAAAAAGTCCTGGTGTAATTTTGATTAGTATTTTTTCTTGTAAATAAAATTGACTTACCCTGAATATTTTTCTTGATAATACCATTTCAAACGAAAACATTTTTTATGTGTATGAACAACAGTGGCACGTTTTGATTAGTTGTTTTGGCAGTGTGTCGATTCCAGGATAGGAAAAAAGAATAGTAAGACGTAAAATTTGTTCTCTGGATTTATATTTTCATGTCTTACACCTTGATTATTATTCATTTATTATAATATAATATATATAATGTGATATAATATATTTTTTTAAACAACCATAAATTAAACGCACTCAAAATTTTGGCGCCAGCAGCGTGTTTATGCCCAAGCCCGACTCTGTCGCAGCTGAAGTCCATTAGATAAATAGCTTTGTCTCTGTCAGTAGTTTCGCCGTTTCTCTTTCCTTTGGATTTAATATTTTTAAGTGGATCACTTAATTACTTCGGCAACCTGTTGCTCCTCTCGGAGCTCTTTAATTTTTATTACGGCCGCAGCGCGAAAGTTTTATAGAGAGATTTTCTTTTAATTCAATTCACTGCCGCTGCGGAAAACGCCCTTTTATTTCGCAAGCGCGAAAACTTTTCGCGTTCGTTTTCTATTTCTATACGGAGTGTCCCGAACAAATCGCCAAACGAAACGTCAGAAAAAACGAAAAAAACAAAACAGTTAATAGAAATTATAATTACTTATGGAAAACTCATGTGTCGAAATTTTCTTCGCCGATTTAAATAGTATTACAGGCTCTACTTTTTTCCTTTTTTTCGTTGCTAAAGAAATACTGTTTGTCGTAACAGATACCAGGTGTCCATAAAGTATCGACGTGGAGGAATATCTCGAAAATTACATAATTGATGAAAAAACAAAAAATGCCTTTAAATATCATGTGAAAAACTGTTCAATAACACCAAACGTGATCCTCCACCCAGATCAACTGGTGGTGGGGAGGAGGAACTTTGAAAAGGAATACCACGAAAACGTCAGATTTTTTTTCCCTTTGAAGTTTTGAAAGATGGCGCTGTAATTGCCAAAAAATATATTTTGTCGTATTTGTGAAGAAATTAAAGGGTCAATGTTATGCGATAATAATGTTACAATCCGTTCGTTTTAAAATATTTTTTCCTACTCTAATACCCGATTATAAATTATAAATGAGTGAAGAGGTTAATTAAAGTGTTGAATACAGTACTTTTTCTACAAGGCCGTTACTTTTTGGGTAAATTTATGCAAAACGAGGGACGTATGTCGTCAAAATACCTTCAGTGTTTTAAATTTACCGAAAACATTTGATCTCTCCTAATCCGTGACTAAAGTAACGGAAACGGTCGAATTGACTAGCGTCAGTTACAGTTAGTGCTGAGGCTGGTTAGTTGATCCGTCAATTGACTTAGTTGACTAGTCAAATTCGATCAAAATGTTTTAAATAACATCTTGCAATTGTAGAGTGTAATCTATCAATATTATTATTATTGAGAGTTTGTAATATCCAATTTACCTACAACCCTTTTTAAGGAATACCCGAATATGATACTTACCGATTCGGGGAATCCCAATAAAAATATCCACCCGCATTTAGTTTTCAGAACGACGCGATAAATTTCATTGTATTTTTAAAATTATTTCGGTCAATTGACACAAAAAAAAATGAACGGTCAATTCCACAACGCTAGTTACAGTGATACTTTGCCCACGCGTGATTGAAGCATAATTAGGTATTTATGGGTGCGGAGTAGAAAAAATATGTTAAAACGATGATATGATATGGTATGATAACACCAAAGTCGGATTCATAACATTGTCCCGTGTATTTTTTGACAAAAACTACTGATAAAACCTCTGAGTGTTTGGTGTTATTGGACAGTTATTTTGTTCAATATTTAAGGTATTTTTCTTGTTTTTTGATCAATTATGTAATTCTCAAGATATTCCACTTTTTGAACACCTGATATAATTAGACGATATGCTAGAGCGATTAACATTAGGGGAAAAAAATAAGAAATGCGCTTGATGCTATTGAAAGCGAAATACCAGTTAAAAGAGCGGCAATTGTTTACAAGATCGTACGAATAACTCAGACGCACGTCTCTTGGGAGAGCCCAACGGTCGGCTTCTAAATATTATCGTTCCCGTGAACAACAAAAGGTTTGCGCCACTTTATGTCTAGTGACAAAATAGGGGAATATATTAATAAGCAAATGTGGGTGCGTGCGTCAACCAATCAATTAGTGATCTTAATTTAATTTACAAATACCGATGGTGCTGAGATATTGAAAATTGCTTAGTGCTTACAATTTTTTTACAAAATATTTCTATAGCCGCTCTACATTTCTTTTCAAATGTTCTACTAAATATTAAACGGTGTAGTTCTCCTGCAAATCCTACATCTATTAAATATATCCGTGTAAGGTTTAGTTTTGGTTTAACTAACTCATTTTTTTCTCTTTTTTTTTTGTTTTATATATACGACACTTTTGTCCATCTATGCATGAAACATGTAATAATATTAAAATATTATTGAAAACAAATTGGATATAAAAGGCCGTCACCGCGTATTTTTTCGGGATTCCTTGCTAACTGCATATCGCCACGCCCTGTATATTCAACTGATAGGCAATTCAAAGAGCGAAGTGGACACTATTTCCGCTTCGAGCGGACGTGCCGCAATCGATTGCCAAAACGCGTCCTTGATTTCCTTTACCAACGTTACCACCGATGTACAGTGTGTCCCATTTTACGGCGTATGTCCCTTATTAATAAAGTTGACGTGTTGCTTTATTATTAAACGAAAGGTGGCGCGAATAGAAATGTCATAGCGATCTTGGATTTTTAGATACTTGGTGATTTCTAAATGGCGCATTTTGAAAAGATGCCACACACACACTGCCATATACAAACTAAACTTGTGTTTTTTAATGGAAAAATCTGGATCTCTTTTAATAATTTTGTTAGGGCTATTATATATAAAGTTTGTATCTCTAATTTTATTTTTTTTTTATGATTAGGCCTTGAAAAAAAGGTGATTGCTTCCGTAATGTACTTTAATTGTCAAAGGGTCGTGACATTAATACGACTGAATTATTATTTATTTATTATGAAAAAATGGGTATAATAGGCGTAAACGCTCTTTTAATATTGCGCACACGTACCTTTATTTTTACAGGTAATTAACATTTTGAAATAAATGATGAAATGTATGTTGTATTGTAATTTAGTAGTATATTTTGAAACAAGTGTGGTAAACAGCATTTGAGTCACGAATGGATCGAGTGTTTAATAAACGAGTGAATTAAAAAATTTTTGGGTACATTTTTGCAAATCAACAGGAATACACTTACTGACATGACCGTCAGAATTGACAAACGTCAAAATTAAAACCGTGCGGTAAAATCTCCAAAAACAACCGACTACTTTCAAACCCGCGTGGTAAAGTGACGGTTTCCGCATCGGTGTATAATTAGCTTTTTTGCAGAAAAGAGTAGAAGAATATGTTTTTAAGTTCAGTTGAGGGGTTTACACGCTTTTTAGAAATGTAGACCAACACTTTTAGATACAGTTTGCTTAAAACGCAAAGGGAAACGGTTATATTTTATATTTCAGCAGCTAGGGTCGTTTTGAAAACGGCCCCTTTTGTTCCGCGAAATTCCGCAACGCTATATCTCTATTAATAACTGAGATACATCAAAATATCGACGGAAAATGAACACACCGTAAGCGAGAAATCAAACGACCAGTATAATTTTCAAAATTTTATTTAATTTTGGTACAAAAATATCTGATAGATTTATGGGTAACAAGACGGTCAAAGAATTAACTTCGGTCGAACGCAAAAATCATTTCCAAGTCGAAAATCGGAAAGCGATGCACGAAATAAGTCTTACAATATGCGGTCCGTTATACATCTATAGGAAGGAGATCAATCGGTCGGTATCGCACTAAAGATAGGCTAAAAACGCCGGCCCGGCGGCACCGTTATTGCAAGTCGAAATAAATAAAAACTTTGGCAAAATTAAGGGCAAAAACAATCGAAAACATTCTAAATTATATACATATACACATCAATAAGTAGGTACGCTATATCAGTTGAGCATGGAAAGAATACGCTTTTTTTAATATCATTTGGCACCGAAAAACAATTAAACTCTAACAAGGAATCTGTGTTGATGTCGCACTTCTAATGCGTCACATTATCTGAGTTTCGATCAACTTTTTATATACTATAATAATTATAATTTAAATATATTTACAGATAATCTACTAAAAAAGGTAACATTGAGGAGCGGCGGGCAGGGCATAAAATATCGTTATACATATCAAATTCCGCATAGTCCGAAAAATTCGCGCCCGCCCCGCTTTTGTTTTGTACACAATAAACTACGTAGTAATCGAGTTAACAGTCTAGTGACTAATTCATTTTGGTGACAGCCTTCATGTTCGAGGGATTCCACTAAAACGCTACCCTACGGTGAAACAAATTGCTACGGTGCAGCGGAAAGTGTACGACCCTGTATAACCCCGCGTTTCGTCGACCGGGAGACTCACTTCCGTTTCACTTTGGCTTTGCACTGAGGGTCGCCGTTTTTCCTGTCGGCTCCTGACTTTAGGTTTTTGATCAGACCCTGTAGCGTCAAAATTTGCAACGTGGTCACGGAGGGGTCGCTGCACGACTCCAACCACTTGAGAAACTTTTCTCCGTGCTCGATGGCCTCGTTGGCGGCCGCAGTTCCCGCGTCGTCCTTGTCCTCGCCGTACTCTATGGTGTTGTTGTTCAGCAACAAGTTGTCCAGTACTGACCTGTTCTTGGTGCTGCCGTTGCTTCGCGGTTTCTCGTCGGCGTGGTTTTCCGCGTTGCTGAGGTCCTTCTCGGCGTCTTTGGTCAGTTGTTGGTACAGAATGGGTTTCTCTACCGTTTGAGACGGATTGTACGCGGACTGTTTGTACCAATTCCAGAACTTCATTTGCTGGTTCGCGACGCTGTTGCTTCCCGCTCCGTTCAGTAGCGTGGTCGTCGTGTTGGTCGGGATGGTACTGCTCACGTTCGTCACCGTCGACGTGCTGGGCAAACTGGTGCTCAACGTCAGCAACGGCTGGTGATTGGGCGGTGGATTGAAGCCCACGAACGACTGTTGTTGTCTCAGCCAATACGACACCGAGTCGTACACCGACTGCTGTTCGCTACTGGACATTTTCTTCTCCGCCGCGTTGTCCACGGTAGTCAGCAACCCTTTCGGAGACAAGCTCTTGGTACTGGTGTCCGCCGGTGCCGTCACTTTGTTCTTGCTTTGTTGTTGCGTCTTTTGTTGTTGATAAAGGAGATGCTGCTGATAGATACTATTCCACTGAATCAACAAACCGGTGAGGTCGTTCATGTTGGTGTTGTTGAGACTAGAGAGGAACACCTCCGGCCGGTTCAATCCCAATTCGGCGCTGAGCCTCGCCAACTCGGCCCTGTTCCTCTCCCGTTCTTTCTCTTTATCCGGCGCGGCCGTCACCTGTTTTTGCGTGGACACCGGCGTCGTAGCGTTCTCGCACTTTACACGCAGGTTCAGCGGAGATTTTTCAGCGTCCGGCGTTTCGCACGCTTTGGTGAAGTCGACCGGCGTTTCGAGTGTGGGCGAGTACCCGGGCAGAGGCGTCTTCAGGCTTAAATTGTACGGCTGATCGTCGAGTTTTATCTTTTTGTTCGAGTGATTGGAATCGTCTGTCTCGGGACTCGACTGCCGGCTGAGAAAAGAGATCTTTTCCTCGTTCTTGCACCATCCCCGAAGGGTGGACTCGGGTACGCCGATATCGCGAGCCACCGAGGCCTTGCTTTCGCCGTCGTGGACCCTCCGGATGGCGCTGAGCTTCTCGTGGGCCGTCAACGAACGCAGGGGCCGTTTGCCGGCCTTCGTAGCCGACATCGTAACAACACTCAAAGTTCACTATAGTCAGTAATTTGTGAGGTTTCGTTGGAAAACACGTGCGGCGCAGCGCGGCCAATGAAAACGCGCGCAGCAGCACCACCAGAAGAAGTTTCGTCGGTTCGCGAACTCGTCGCTCCGCGTGGCACGAAAGAAAATAAAAGTTCACGGTCGTCGGCGAAACACGCACGTCATCACCGGCGCCCCACCACCGACTGACTGACTCGGGAGGTTCTCCGCGCGCGCGGCACACTGCGACCGTTTAACGCGGGATCGTCGGGCGATATAGTTTCTTGCGAACTCTCGGTGGTCAGTTCCTTTGTCCAGCTGATCAATACTTGCGAGAACGGACGCGATAGAACTGAGCGCAGGGCAGCGAACGGCGGAGGGTGGTAGTTCGCGAGCCCCCTCCGCGTGTAACGGCTTGACGTGACACCCGCCCCCGCCGCCGCGCGGGGTGGGCGAAGCGGCGGTCCCCCTTTGCGCGGAAGACGTATTCACGCAGCCGAAGAACTCGAGGGCTCGATCACGTGGTCGAACAGCTGACGAGCCGGCGGCGGCGTCACAACCCGCCTCCGCGGCCGTTACTTTCGCGTCATACCGACGTCATCTAATAAGGTTTTGTAATGTAAAGCGTCCGCCCGGCGGCGGCGATTGTTCAGCCGCGCCGCCGCCGCCGGTCCGAGTTATCAAACGAAAAACGAGCTATTGACCTTGAATCGCGACCAGCTCCGCAATAATAATCGTTGTTGTTGTTGTTGTTTTCGGTCTGCCGCATTTCACCGGATTACGCATCTGGAGCGGATTTTGATTTGCGCCGTGCCGGACGAACACCTACGGAGTTCGATTTTGTTTCTTCATCGACGTCCGACTAGAAGAAACCTCATTCATTCGTAAAATTGCTGTTGTGATGCAAATAAAGACATTTAGGAAAGAAACGAGTAGGGTGGAGAGTTTTGCCTAAATATAAATAATAATAATATCTTTATTATCCCAAATATTGAGAATAAAATTAGTGTAGGTATTATGGATTTCGTCAAGTAGGTCAATATTAGGTACGCAATATAGATCCCGCAGATGAGGCAGAAAACAACATTAAAAATTTATAAAATAAAAATATGTGGCAGAGCACAACGATACAGTGATAACAAACATTAATAAGTAAAATATTCGTTTAAATTATAAAAACAATTTTGTAGGTGAAAAAAATTTAGTTTGGAGTGAAAAATGTTAAAATATTGTGGACTCTAACACCGGTGTGTGTAAAATAATTTTTGGAAATTTTAGTCTATCTTTTTTTATAGAGAAACAGTCTTGTTACTTGTTTTATGGTAGTGAAAATCTCCTTTTGTTTGTACATGTATAGTTGCTGCGGGCGCCACGTAAGGTTGAAAGAAATAATTCCCGATAGGGGGAATGAATCATTGGCGTGTGAAATTATAATGTAGCGATGTTAAAATTTTCATAATTTTATTATAAAGAGCATAATAATTAACCAAATTTTACACAGTTTTAGAGACAAAGCAAACCACATTTGACGCCTATGAACATTCTTTCGAAATCCGAAATAGACCATTCCTAAGCACAAATACTTACACAAAAGAAGAAAATACATACACCCGCCTATGAAACACATCTTCGATCTGTTTACATGCACATGAATTCAAAGTTCTTTGCACAGTATTGCAGTATTTTTGCTGGCCTTTGTAGTAGCAATATCCAAAAACATCTTTTCACTTTCAAAAAGTCACTTTTGTTACACAAAAAAATGAGCAAAAGTAGACGTAGCACAAGATCGAGTCGTGAAATTGAGGTTAAGAACTTTAATATATTAACGTCGTAACGTTGTCACATAAAAAAAACATTCCTCATGAACAATATCGCTTTGTTAAAAAAGAATTTGTTTTTTTAACATATATTGAGTTAGGTTAAGCTAACCTATGCTTTTGAATATATAAATATACATACATATACATTTTGTTTCTGTCATAAAAATGTTACCAACTATCGAAACGAAAATCTTAAAATTATGTTAAAATGATGAAAAAATATATCAAAATCAAAAATCATTCATTTTTATACCAAAATTATTATTTTTGAAAATATCGAAAAATTGTATTGGAAAATGTTATTGCTTGAATTTTTTCACTTTTTCCCAACCTAACTTTTTTTTGTACAGCCTAATCAAAACTGCTTATATGGACCAGACTGAATACTTTGATATAGTATATTATGCAACAAGTGCGATAAACGGCATTTGACTCACGAGTTTTTAATGAACGAGTGAGTTAAAAAGTTTACCGAACGTGTTGCATACTGTACTTTTTCTACGACCGTCAGTTTTTGGGTACATTTTCGCAAAACAACACAAATACATTCACTGACATGACCATCTGAATTGACAAACGTGAAAATTCAAAGCGTAGGAAATATCTCCGAAAACATCCGATTGCTCCCAAATCCGTGCGGTAAAATCCCGGAAATGTTCGAAGTAGCTCGGATTCGTGGGCAACGAAATTGATGTTGTAAAGTGACGCGCCAGATCGGTGTTTAGTCAGGTACTTTACAGACGCGAGTAGAAAGAAGTGTTTTTCTTTACATTTATCTTAAACACTGAGAGAAAACATCAAATGCACCTAAAGATATCTTCAATGTTGATGAAATGGTAATGTGATTTTAACCATATAAAAGTTAATTGATTTTATCACAATTTAGAGAGGTAACTGATTGATATTTTGTGAGGCGATGTCCGCCTCGAATGAAATGTATGTTAGTTACGCTATCGTAGCTATATAAACCTGAGAAAATGGGAATTAGAGGAGCAATTTTGTTGCTCTACGGTACAGGTAGTTGTACATACAAGGGGAATCAATAATGAGGTACCACAGTGCTCTATTTTGGGATCATTATTTCTTCTTTGTTTTTACCTAGGTATTCAAGATGTGCCGTAGATCAGCTAATAAACTAAAAAGTAATGTAGAAAAAACTAGCGTTATGGTCTTTATGAAACGAAATAAGTCCGACCTATTGCTTGCAAGTAAATATAAAAAAACCATCACTATCGTTCCTCAGCTAAAATATAATTTGGTTGTAGATGACAGATGACACTAGAAACGTCCACGTTGAAAAAATGCTTAAACAAATTTTAGCTGTGATAGGTGCAGTCATGAAGTGAAGGAATATATATATTTAATTCCAGTTTGGAATCTAAGGCAATCTTTAAGAGAATAATTGATACTTCAGAATAAGGTTTTTAAATTACGATTATTTCACGCCTACTGAAATATTGTACTCAGATTTGAGAATTACGCGAGTAACTACTTGATTATAAAGAGAACAATGTAAACTAGTATACCGAATGAGCCAAATCAGGAACTTTTAAAAAAGGTTGCCGAAAACGGATGTCAGTGTGTGAACTCAATTTTTATAAAAGTTATAATGGTAAAAGCCGTTTCAGAATTGTAGGGTATTTATCTTTTTTTTGTTCAATCGCTGCAACTTTTTGATATGAAAAATTTTTACGTAGAACAAGGTAGTTGTCGAATTTCGAATTTGACTAAGAGGATCGTAAGAAAATGCAATATTTGAAAATTATGAAAAATGGGATATGATAGTTTGCTTCTTACAAACCGAGGAGAATATATTCGCACAAATTTTAAAGACATTTTCGGACGATTGTGACACAATAAATCAACACAGGATACATCGAATATGGATATAATATTACAAGAACTAGTGGTTTTAGGAGTCATTCAAAATAATCCTGAAAAGTCGACACAGAAGTTAAGGACCCTGACAGAATTGGCAAGAACTAGCATTAGCCAAACTTAAAAAAAATAGAAATACAGACCAAACAAAACGAGAAAAGTGCAATCGCCTAGACCCGTAGATTTTCAACAGCTTTATATATATATATATATATATACTTTATCACGACTTGACTTGAGATTTTGGCGGTTGCCAGAACCAGGTACTATGTAATTATTATATAATTGGTAATATTTTTCAAACAAAATAATTATATCAGTACACTCTTCTTTTGAATAAATCTTCTAAATCATTAAGACTAAACAGCACCACAATAATAATATCCAATTTTCAAAAATTATAAAAAATAATAGCAAAATGAAACAAACTGACAGCATAAATAGATTATCTGACATTTCTAAGTACCATAGGAAAGCAGATGCAAAAAAACTTTTATTTAGAAAACACCTTGGAAAATACCAAAATTAAAACTGTAATTTCACGTTTTCTTGAAAAACGCTATATAGAACGGTTATAGAACATTCGAGTTGTAGTCACTTAAAGTTATTATATTCCCCTTGTATAAGATGGGATTTTTGTTATAATTGAGATATAAAATATAGTGTATTGTTACTTATTTAAAACTTCTTAAGATTTAGGTACCAAAAATCTTATTCAAACACTTATTTTGGTTATAAGATCCAAAAGTGCTATAATATCAAGGGAGTTCCATTTAAAAACGTACCACTTTGATACTTTCAGCACTTTTGGATCAACCTGTATAATTCAACTTCACATATAACAGAAGTCAAACTTTTTGAAAACTTTGTATTTTGGCCACAATATTCCGTACCGTGTAGCGTGAATAACATTAACGTTACAACAGGCAACAAATAGAAGTTAACGACTACATTTTAAAGACAATAATTATGGCTTTTGTCCCCGTCTTTCTATAGAATCGAACTATTTGTGATTCACTGCCAAAAATCACTGAGAAGGAATTAAATAAACAGAATCGGGTAGTTTAAATTTACTCGAAAGCAATTTACCGAATAAGCTGGGCCATTAGGGTTGAGGGCTCGCTGTTGTTTTGCAGCCGTTGGCAATTACGTTAATAGCATGCAATAGAAAATTAACCACAGGTAGTTCTTATTTGTATAACTTACATTTAAATTACCTGTGTTTCGATTAAATTACATTTTCCAGTGTGTATTGTAGGCATGGCATTTGCGTTTATAAAATACCTAAGCAATTGGGATAGCCTCTATTCCATATGTCAATGATATATTTAAAATTTGGTTATTGTATTAAAATAATTCATAATTTTTCACCTGTAATAGAATTTGTTCTAAAAAAAAAAGGTTCCCATATGTCGCTAAAATATACGCGATGTAAGGGAGCCTTAATTATTTAATTTTCAATGAATTCCTTGTCATATATTGAGTGGATATTTTTGTAACGTTGTCTATGACGAAAATTTCTGGTTTCTGAAGTAATTGAGAATATAACACTTTCCTATTATAATATAATACCATAATATGGGTTTTGTTCTATAATACGCTTTCCTTGCTTTAACTAAACCGTGATAAATTGCAAGAAAAACATCCAGGGCATTTTTTCTGCTTGAAAAATATTGCAAACTATTACATAGACTGGGTGACCCAGCGATAGAGTAAAGGAAATTTTTACCACTGCGGCACTACTAGTGTTAAAATAATATATGCCATAATATGAGTTTTGTTAGTTGTTAGTTTGTTAGTTGTTTGTTAGCCATGAAGTCGGGAGGGGCTGGAAAGGTAGCAAATCGAGAAGCATAGAAACGTCGCTTTGCAAAACAACATCGATTTATATATTTATATGTGAGTTTGACACACGTTCTTCTATCATTCATTGATTTAATTTATCCGATTTTTTTCCGTTAAAACCCATACTGTATTCAGAAAAAGAAAGCTTGCACAATAAAAATGAATTCCCGATAAAGATGTGTATACGATGAGGGATACGATTTGAAGGATAGTCTGATATGATTACATAACATATGTAACTATTACAACTATTTAATTATTTAAAAATAAATAAATGAAATTCCAAAAAAAAATGTTCCACATGACTTTCAGCGATACAGATTTTATATATTACTAATTCTATTTTTTAGAGGTTCAGTATCATAGCCAACTAATAACAAGACTGAACAGTCGTAATATAGCATTATTACAATAGGAAAATGTTAGATTGTCAATTTATTTCGGAAATTAAAAATTTCCGGAATAGACAAAACTTTTACAAAGTCACCTTAATTTTTAATGCCAAATCGGAAAGAAGAAATAATAATACGGTGTTTGTATTTGGAGAAACTGACTTTTTTTTGTGATTTAAGAATCCATCCTTAAATAATTAAGGCTGCCTTATAGGAAAAAATGTAAATTATTTTTGAATTATTATGAAACTATTCGTAGTTCTTGAGCTAATTTAATTTTTAATTTTTAATTAATTTTTAATTTTAATTTATTATTAGTTAACGAATATTTGTAAGTGGTTTATAAAGAACGTTAGCTTTTATAAGATATTTTATAGTTCTTTTGAAACATTAATAGATTTTAATTATGGCAGAATAGAAAAATTTTCCTCATAACCTAAATATTATTCTTCAAAATCAGTGCTGTGCTATTTATCTAGAAGTTTTCTATTTGACGATCTCAAATATCAGATTTCGATTTCAGCCGATCGTTTATTGATCGGATTGAAAATCCTCCCCACCCTCGTGCCGGCTACCACCCAGTCGGCTTTCGTAAATTTTAGCTGCGTGATACGGACCGACAAACCTTCGGCCTCCTCCTTCGGGGACCGTTGGGGTTGATCGGTGGACCCGGGGGGTGGCGGGGGGTTGCTGCCGGGGGACGGGATTTTAGGTCGCGGTCCGCGGTCCCCGAGGCCATGCGGCGCGGCCGACGCCGACGAAGGGGCGACTGACTATACACACGCCCGCCTACGCTGACGCTATGCCCCTCTCCCCCCTGTGGAAACCCCCGTGGCCCGAAATCGCTGAAAATCGACGCCGGTTTAGCGAGCCTACGTGACTAACGTTGAACCCTGTTTTCGAATCTATTTTTTGAAAAAAAAAAAACATATTCAACCATCCGTTACTGGAGTAGGTCTACCGGGTGGTACGTTTATGATGGAATGACACCTTAACTAAGAACCTGGCAAAAATGTCAAAGATATTAGAAACAAAAGTTGTTTGGTCTCACTTAGGTATACTTTCAAAATTTTATATTGCTATAGTTACAGAGTGTATGTATTTTAGTGAATAAGAGAGTAACATCTTTCTTATTTTACGTAGAACATCCTGTATATTATATTTCGTATATATCTTAAGTCTTATCTTTTCTGACATATCTTGAATTTTATGTCAAAAGTGACGTTTGCAGGTCTCAATATATTTATCGATTTCTCAGACAGGAAGTATTTTATATATTAAAGGTTAATTTAAAAGGGCATATGTGGTTTGTGTTGATATATTAAAAATAAATAAATACGGAGCATTTTGAAAAACGGCGACCTTATATAAGATTGCCTATTTGAATAAGTTCTAAATATCAAAATATTAGCAATAAGACATTGCAAAGCACCATCGACCACCATTTTGACTTGCTGAGTTTTATGCCATCTTAGTTACTTTTTTTATTGTTGTTGTCATTTTAATACAAAAAAAAATTGTTTGTGGTGATTTTTATATTACATATTTAATACTGTTACTTGTAGGCTTTGGTTCATCTGGATAGTTCTGAGAAAATTTCAAAAAAAATTTCATTTCATTTCTTACATTCTTAAAAGATAAACAATTTAAATAACTTTTGGGCATTAAAACCTTTATTACCCGACATGGTTACATGCCAAGATTTACAAGAAAATGTGCAACTAGAGTAAAGAGTTTAAATATGTAGGCGCCATTTCTGTAGTGCTCGATTTTCTATTTTTCTGTCGTCTTCCTGGTCAATTAATACATTTTAATATTTACAATATTACGAAATCTACAAACAATACTGGATTTTACTATTTTAAAGATGCATTGCTGCGAGCCATTTCGGGTGGTTCCGTTACTTTAATCACATCTACTGAAAACCCGGTCACACCCAACTCTCGAATAAAGTCAATAATTTTGATAATGGCTTACATTGTTGTTCTTACAAAAGGGTATTAAGATAATGCCTTTTACTATAAACAATTTGACGCCTAGCTAGGTTGTCGAATTGTTGGGTCATATGTTTTTGTGTCAATTGACCTAAATAATTTTAAAAATACAATAAAATGAATATTTATTCATATTGTGCGTTACGTCGCCATTCTGGGAACCAAATGGAGTTGATTCCCCGCATCACTAATTATGGTATTCCGATATTCCTTGCAGCGGGTTATAGGCAAATTGGACATCACAAACGCATAAGAAATTAATATAAAATACATATTATTATTAAATAATGATAGATAACACTCTAGAATTGCAAGATGTTATTTAAAACATTTTTCGACTGGTCAATTAAGAAGTGAAGTGGTCAATTGACTACGGTCATAGATACCATAGCTACCATCTCCTATCATCTACATACATTCTATATTAAGGTGTAGAAAAATCGATGCAAGATTTGCTGCTAAATTTCCAGTGTCGGAAAGTACGCCGGTGTACCTCGTTTTCAACGGCTAGCTGCTCTAAGATGGGACCCTTTGCCGAGAGCTCCAATATAATGAGAGGCGATAGAAAGCTGAAAGGTCCATTTTTCGCGACCTTGCTTTCGTTTCGGTCGCTTCATTTGACGTTTGTACCCGTTATAGGCAGGGAGAAAATTGTCTATCAACTTAAAAACAGAAATTTAGTATCTTTATGAAGAGAACAGACTTATAACCATGCCAGTCTGAAATGGACAACCGCGATAAATTACCCGCATAATTGAAACAATGTTATATAAAAACAAAAATAAAATAAGGGTTACTCAAGCCAAAAAACTAAACTCTGACTAATAAGCACACATCAACAACATGAGAGAGTCCGAGCATTTCGACGTGTATACGCTGGACCTCCGATCATGCGCATAGAAAACTGGGTTGGCTATTGTCGCCTCTCGTTAGATTGGAGCTCTTTGCCTATGTTTCGGTATTGTTCGCGACCATAGTTGTTCCGGCAGCGGCGACAGTGCGTCGCCGACCCACCGCCCCGAGGGATTTATAATTCATATGCCGAAACTGACCGTTTCGAATTCCGAGAATTTGCCTGACGTATACGTCATAAAAACCGCCCGGCAGTTCTGCTCGTTTGCCTCCGCGGAAAATATCCAAATTTTCAAATTTCGCCAGTGGAGCCCACCGCAACGACTCACCACTCGGAGTTCCACACTATATGCGCATAATTATATAAAGAGTGATCCGCTTTGAGTGTCCTATTTTCCTACTAGAAAGCGATAAAGTTTTCTTTTTCAAATTTGATATATGACCATAGAGCGCCATAATCTATTTTTCAAATATTTACGCACCTGCAACGCTGCCAGTTTAACTCGAAACAAATGACAACATCGAAAATTCCATTGAAATGTCATGTAAATTAATAGGCTTTATGGTTTTGGTTAGTTGAGTTTTAAGTAGATTTTTAAATCGGGGAACAATCTTAGTTCACTCAAATTTCAGAAACGGTTACCAATATGGGTCATATAGTCATATACTTATATAGATTTTATGAAAAGTATGCAATATGTTTGCTAAACTTTTTAAATGTCACTCATTTATTAAACACTAGCTCGGCTGCGCTCCGCTCGTGTCAAATAAACTCGTGACTCAAATGCCGTTTATCAATTTTGTCTACTATCTCTACAAAGGATTTCCAACTAATTATAAGCAAGGACATTGCAAATCATATAAATTCAAACCCCAAAAAATAACTGGTTTCATTATAAGTGTTGACCAATACATCCAAATATGATTAAGCGGTCTTACTGCTTTGCCTGCTGACACGACCAAAGTGACATCTTTTCGGTAGATTCTAAACACTGATGGTAATTTGATGTTTGTCAATTCTGATGGTCCCGTCAAACGTCACTGAGTGATTAAGTTCGTGCTGTTTCGCAAAAATGCAATGAATAGTCGTAGAAATAGTATTTAAAGTATAAAATGTGCAATGTCACTTTTTTATTAAGCACTTGCTCCGCTGCTCTAAAGTCGCGACTAGTTTCAAAAATGATTTTATTGATTATGACTAAATATTTAAAACTTTCCCACAAAGTCTAGATTTTAAATGGGAGGTCCATTTGATTGAAGCGGTTGTCTGTAATAATTGTAAATTCATTGGCATAAAAGTTATTTATATATTTTGTTCATTTTCTTTTAATTTCTTAGTATTTAAATAACATATTATATAATAGAATAACAAAAACTAACCAAATACTTGTTTGTTTCAACACAATTACAATGCAGAAAGCCAACAGCAACATAGGATCTGGGTCAAAAATTTGACCCCTCCTGTATAACTTTGCTAACTTTGGAGTATTAAGGGTTGTCTGTGAACTCACCTAGTTTTGTTCGTGCATAGAAAAGCGTTTGTCTTCCTATTCTATGTAGATTTTTTGACCCAGATATATGTAAGTGTGATGTACTACGAATCCGATCCCTCTGTTTTATTTACAAAGCAAAGTCCCCAATCACCTATTAAAATTATATTATTTTTTCATTTACGAACAACGTTTTATCATATAAAACTAAAATTAATTATTTTGATGCTGATCCAAGATTAATCGAGTTAAATAAATTCACGTGACTAAGGAAAACCATATAACACAAATAGGTAAGTAAACAAACATAACTAAACAAGAATAGTGGCATGCATTTTATTTTAGCCACGTTATGAACAACAATAATAAAATTAACCAATTTCTGGAAAAACCAGTAATATTCAAATATTTTATTTTTTACAAAGTATTGTAACACGTCAACACTATCTCTGCCATCTATCCGCCAGTAGACAAATTAGCAATAGATCAGAACGCCTTATTGAAGATTTATTTGTACGGCGCCCCAAGAGTGAACCAAAGAGTAACAAAACAAAGTACTAAGAGGGTGCTTGTTGGGACAAGATGTGGCTGTTGGCGAGTGGTTGATTGGGCGATTGTGCGTTTGTCGATATTTATACCCGTATATTTTAATAGTAAATAATAAACAATAAATTGGGTTGTGTGTTTAATCGCGTTCCCGAACTTGACAGTTGCGACAGTCTTCATTTAAAGCGAAAGCTGTTTCTTAGCGTTATTTTTGATACATTAGGGATTTTTTCGCAAGTTAGCGTTAATCTGACAGCCATGGCTGCCCCATTGAAAATAAAAAATGATCACCAGTTAACGGGTACAATTTTTTTAAAATAGTATGGTAAGAAATTAAATATGATGACATCTAATACAAAATAGACGAAAACGAAAACCAGGACTTTGCGTCCGGGGGTGGGCTCTGTTTTTCCGTAACGCATTAAACTATCCTTATTAACGTTTCATTGCGAAAACGTTGCGTGATAGAAATTCACATTCCACTACAATCGTATATGACAGAATTTTCAGACGTTTGACATCGGCTAGATATTTAATAACAACAGTTAAAGTGCGTTCGTTATTAATGTTTTAATTTGGTTACTTTAATCTCTGTTGCTTTTATTAATTCCCGAGCACGTTAGCCTATGTGTTTCATTTTATTTCCGGTATAATTGGTCCTACCAAAAGGTACAAGTTAAAACTCCATCGTGGCTGATATAACGACGAGATAGATGGTGTAAATCAGTGGTTCCTGAACTTATTTTTCTCATAGATATTTTCGGTGGACCCTCTATAGCAGCTACATTTCTACCATATTTATTTTTTATCATGGCAATGTAGACCTCCGTAAAGTTTTCCGTGGACCCATGGGGGTTTACAATATGATGACCATATATTTAAACTACTTTCTGCCTAGAGTAAATGCCCTTTTCGCTTTTGAGAAACTTTTTCAGCGCATAGGTGGAGTTTCAATTTGTAAGAAATCATTTTAAAATTATGTGATTTTCTTTTATTTTCATTATTGGGGAATATAAATGAAATATATTTTAAACTTTAATATCTCATTGGAGAATACTTAGGTCTATAAGGACTGATATTTTAAGATAATTTTTAGCTACAGAAGCGACTGATTCAGGAACGTGAACTATTGCAGCTCTGCTACAAATGTCAAAATTTCCAAAATTATCTGTAATCTCTCCGAATAATTTAATAGCGAATTAGTCATTTAGAAAAAACGATATCTGGATCATTTTCTTGATGCGATTTAAACTAAATTATGACTTATTATTATTATATTTAATTTCTTCTAAATAGTCACAAAGACACAAAATTTATGTAAACAAATCGCCAACTTTAACCGTCCCAAATGATGTGTCTAATAGTTCACAGACCCAAATAATACCATGACGTCATCACTACCCGTCTAAATAGTAGCCACCGAAGATATAGAGGCCCTACCTACTCCTATAGTACAGAAACTTATGAAGCAATTATGAAAAAAATTTTGAGAAGGTCCATTGAACAGCGCATACTCGAGTTTTACAATATTATTTTTAACCAATGACCTAGAATGTGGTGAAAATTGCTGTTCAGAAAGAAAATGGAGCAAAGTGCAGGTTAGTGTGTGAAACATAAAGGTATGAGCGGAAAATCATTACCTGCGCTACGAGAATATCAAGTAGTAGGGCTATTATATTATCTCATAGCTATACGAGAGGGCCATACGCCATCCGAAAATTTCTGAGGATGCGGTAAAAATGCCACATTCAGACCTAGAACTCAGCGTGAATGGACGAACTGTCAGCCGCCATGTTAGTTGTTTAACGCCGTTTGAAATTAGATTTGAAATGACTGCGCATGAACAAATTGAATGGCCTTTTTTTTCAATTGAAAGGGACGGTTGTTGATGTATATTTTGATTGTAAATAGCTTTTGACAAATAAGTTCTTCGCAAACTATACAAGTTTGTAGCTTGTTTGTTATCCGTTTTTGTATTAGCAATATCCAAAAACAGCTCTTCAGTTTAAAAAAGTCACTTGTCAAAGACTAAGCAAACACGTAATACAGAAGGCACCTTGTCACATTAGAAAGATGAACGCCTTTTTATTTAAACGAATGAATGACCATCACGGTACACGATATATAGAGCTGTTAAAAATTTGTTGAATGGTATGTAGTACGTTCTACTTGATTGAATAAAAACACAGCAATACATATAGCTTTGCATATTGCTAATCTACAACATTGATTTCGTCGCTTTTCATCACAAGTTGTGGATACATTGGGAGTTTACATTTTCGGTATTTTTTTAACTAAATGACCAGGATCCCATTTGACCGATGCAGTGCCCATCTTCATCAAATGTTGCCAGAGATAGCTTGCCGAGTTTGTTGCACATCACCGTGTACTCCATCGGACAGTTATTGCTTCCCACAGCCGAAGAATCTGAAATATTGAATGGATTTACCACAGATAACGCGTGTTCCTGTTACCATTTTCGTTGACGCCCAAATTATCCAAAGTTTTATCGATATCGTCGTTAGATCGCGAAGTGTTCCGGTTGATTTGTGACACGAAAGCCCCTATTAAAGTATCTATTAGGCTCGCCTGTTTCGAAAACACCTGCAGTATTTTTGACACTCTTGTACCATTCTCCGATACCAAAAACTGTATAAACAGACACGGTAAACAGTCGGGATTGTCTTCTCTCGTCGGTCGGGCGTACTCCCAACTGAATTCTTCATACCTCAAACCCAACAATATTTCCTACAGAGACAATAACCTATATTTGTAATTTTTATTGCAACCTTAGAAACTACCCAACCATAAGGAGACCCCACTAGTACTCATCAAGAATAACTACAAGAATTTTTTTAATCCCTAACTTGATAACACCGCAACTTCAACTATAGATAGCTTTGGCTAATAAAAACAAGGCTAAAGTGGAGTTTAGCTTGACCCTCTGTAACAAACTTCTCTATAGACTTTGACTTAAAAACGGTGTCTCTTGAAAGTTAAGTTTTGCATCGGAGAGAAGTAACTATCAAATTCCTTTAATAATTCTTGAAAGTTATCTTTCCTTTCCTCAAAAAATTCAAAGGTATTTTTAAATTCGCAAACCTTCCGCCCCCATTAGGGTAAAAGGTGTCATTTTTTTTCAGTAATGTTTGATTTGTTTATGTTTGTCATCTAAAAGGGTTGTCTCTGTGTGCGTCTAAAAGCCGATCAACTTTCATGACATATTTCTAACGGCTCATTAATCTGATAAAGTCATACAAAGACCATTAAAATTTTCAAAAGTCAACTAAATAGTGCTTGTGATCATTCTCTTCGCCTGCAAAACTGAATGTTGTGGCTATTACACCATATAAAAATATAGGAAATAGCAAAAAGAAACTGCACACGTTATGTTAGCATTTGTCTTTGAAAAGAGACGTTAACAAGGTAAAAAAAATAAAGAAAAAAAATAGAGATGCTACAGAATGTATGTAATAAATATTCCATGTAACTAAGTGTTTCGGGATCCCTAAATAATAAAAGAATGTGATATTGGAATAAGAAAATGTAATCATAGTTTAAAGTGAACCACAAAATATTAATTTTATAAAAGAGTCAATTAATATTTAGAAAACGAGGGATGTCATGTGAGTAATAGGTAGGAGCTTTAATTAAGATAACGGTGTCGTTAGAAACATGACATAAAACTGTATCTGAATGAAGTCGCTACTTGACGAACACAAAGACTTTTTTTATATAACAAGTAGTCTTTTGTCACGTGAGTGTGGAGTAAAATTTATACTCAAATTCCTCCATTGTATTCCCAAATAATTCTCAATTCTCAATTTGTTATAAAGTACTGAAAGCCCTTCCGCCATAGGTCTTTTGTTCCTTTCATCCGTAACTACGAATGCTGCAGTTTTTTAACAAATAAATTTACAACAAATTCACGTGCATGTTTGCTATTAAAATTCTGCTTTAGGATGTGGACCTTTGGAGTGAACTTCATTCACAAAGGGCAAATTTTTGGATATCTTATTCAGTAACCCAATGGTTTTATTGAATATCTGAATGTGGATCATTTTGAATATATTAAATAATAAATTTGCACAAAAGATTTTTCTCTGGGAACGCTTTAAAGAAACAAATATAAATGTCCTACAGGAATAATTGAATATCTAATTTTTCTTGCCCTAACGTAAAAAGTACGATTATAGGTCTCTCCTATGGTTAAAGGTCTTTGGAAATGACTCACACATTCCAAATCGTCAATTATGTAAATCCCTCTGCTATTGACGACGATCAACACCGGAATATCCTGATGAATTAGGAACGATGCAAGTCCCGTAACTGGTTCTTCAATTTGTCCAACGAAAAACGCGGCTCTACGGCATACCAAATTTATAACCAGTACGCCCAATGTATTCGGCCTAACCCGTAAAAGGGCAGAGACCAGCAGAACTCCAGATATTTTTTAATCAGTTTTCTATTGGTGGCCGTACTGGGTATTCTTTTGAATTGCTCCAACAGCCTGACCTCGGCCGAATTCTTGCTACTGATAGGCAGCCATGCCCACGTAGAACTCTTCCTCACGTGTGCTGGTAGAAATCGAACCTGTTCTTCTCTAAAATAATGCGTTGAGTGTACCTAAAATTGTTAAACGAGGGATCTGATAGACATATATAGCTCTTATATAGCTACGAGAAATATAAAGGCCCTGTCTATGCTGATGATACACGAACTTATGAAGCAATATGAAAAAAAATTGAGAAGTTATGTGCAACATGCGCATCTCGCTTTTAACCAATGCCCTTGGGACATTCAACACCTGACATGGCCGCTGACAGATAGTCAATAAGTGTGGATGCGGCATTTGTGCGGCAATATTTTCTTAAATTGTGCCTAGATTTTTGTTGTTCTGGGAAAACAAGACAAGTTTGTGGAAATCGCTGTTTAGAAAGAAAATATCAATGCCGCTTGCATAAATGATTACTATAGTCGCATCATTTTGATAATCAGGCAATTGAATTGCGAAGTATTTTAATAACCAAACCATAATTGAAATTATTAAACTGTAGTATGCAACCCAACACACATGACTATGAAAAATGCAATGTTGAAATGGGGTATCGAAAATATACGTTAAATCTTAAGTATTATGAATACTATGTTAATAACGGAATAATATTACATTAAATATAAAGTTAAATCAAGCATATACTTAAAATATTACGGACTTCGAACTGGAATGTTTTTTACAGAATTTTCTTGCATCTCAATGGTTTTATCTATTTTCATGTTGATCAGAGTATAAATTTTGAGGCAATGCTCGGATAGTTACGGATCAAACTTTATTTGGGAAACAATTCAAATATAGCACGGACTGTGCTCTATCTCTGCAAGGAAAGGGGAGGGTGGAATTGTCATAAATAAATTTCCATATCTGCAATAAGATTTACCACAATGTTGGAGTCGTTAAAAAAGCATTTCCTAGGCTATCAATCGTGTGGCGAGTTGTGCGATCGCTCACTGTGTCACCAAGCGGTGACACAGTGAGCGATATCCTAACCTAAAATATGATTAAAAAAAACTTAACGCTAAAAAGATGAATTTTGAGAAAATTTTCCACTTAACGGGTTGTTACTAATGTTTAGTTATCCCGAATGTAGTATTTATGATACCAAATGTTATTTAAAATCAAAATAAAATGTTATTTATCTTTTTTTTACAGTAACTAACGAAGGGCATCAGTAGCTGTCATGTTAACATGCTTACTTGTTTTTAAATATTTAGTTTTACTATTTATTTTTCATTAAAAATTATTTCCAATCACTAATTAATTGTTGGCGACTAACTTATTTTATGGATTTTATTAATTTAAATTATCAGGGTTACCATGAAAACAAATTTGGTGTTTATCTGGCCAAAGATTCACGTTGTTCATGTTGTTATTTGATGACTGTCAAAATATTTTCATTGCCTTCCATTGTAATTTAAGTTTGTTAAATGTTTATTGCATAAACAATGTCTTATTTAAACGCATCGTAATTCAGTGCCATGAAAAAAAATCTACTCGTTAGAAACGAAGAATAATTCTGATTATTTCAGCGCACATTTTGTTACTTAAATAATTTAATAATAAATAAAATTGCTTAGCCTTCAATAATTGATTAGTTTTAGTTAGTTGACTAAACTTAATTATTACTGAAAAAAATTCGTGATAATAATAAATTAATGGAAAAAGATCAAGGGTATCAAAATGTGGTAATGTCATGTACTGGGCAATTTTGTGTGAACCAAAGGTATTTAAAAAATTAGTAAATTAACGTTTTATTTTATCACGTCTCCTAGAGGCATTTCAAAAATTAGGAAATAGTTTCCAGTGCTTCCTTTTGGATGATTAACTTAATTGTTTTTTCAAATTTTTAGGACCATCCGTTTCTCTAATACTGTACCTCGTTGCCTTTACTGAGACACCCGCCTTTGGCTATGCTAATAACAGAGAAGGTCCATTTAATATGCGCATCAATGCAAATCATAATTTCGATTGTACACAAACCCCAATTAAAATAGGTGAAAGCTACATTTCAATTTCTTTATGTATTTATAATGTATTAAATAATATATTTAAAATTACAACTTCTCGATTAAATTGAAAATGTTATTTTCACCTATTTATTCTGAAATTCATAGTTTTAATTTCTTAGTTCTGACAATAACAAAAATAAGTGTGTAAACTGAGATTCAATGCCACTATAAAGAAGAAGTTTTCATATTTAAATTTCCTAGGAAAAGCGACATTGTCAACTTAAAAACAAGTAATTATAAACGTCAATTTCTAGGTCATAAATTTTGTAAATAGAAAAGAAATAAATGTAACAAAATGTAACGATTTGTATGTAGGGAAAAAAGGTTTGGAAGGGCACAGAGCAAAACTACGGCAAATTATAAAAGCTTGTATATTTGGCAAATAAAATTTTTCATGCAACAGAAAAATAAATATGAACTAGTTCATACCTGTGGATTGTAGGGGCCCAATTCTTCCCTAGCCTGTATGCCCCCAAGCATGACATAGTGTGGTATTTCGCAAGGGTATCTTCCATTTAATATATTGTATTTGGCTTCTTCATAAAGTAACTCCAAAATTTTTTGATCCCTGTGGAATTTCAAACAGAAGAAAAATGTGATTCCTCTGTGTTTTGACAAGTTGCAACAGATTTTTTACTTCAAATAGAATTTGCTCACTTTATTTTTTCCTCTAAACTCTTTGAATAGAACACATTTCTTTGAAACATCAGTTTTGGTTCATCATCATTCTTCTTATCTTCAGAAACATAACAATATCTTTCAACCAAACTGTGCCAGTTTTGACGAACTTCAAAAGGTTTAGAATTCGGTTTCAGTTGTAATTCTAAAAATATTTTTGAAATAAGTTAAAATGCTCTATGTCAATCTTTAATTATTACCTAACAGAGGACTGACCATCCAAAGAGAAAATACCTGCGTGGCTAACCCTTTGTTAAGACCTAATTCTTCGCAGCTAATAATTGCTTGAGAAATAATATCACAAGTGGCAGCAGGAGGATCATCTATTTCTAAGATCAAAGCAATTTTGTTGTGAAGATAAACTGCTACCGGAAATTTTGATGATTGCTGAAAATCTATAGAAGATTTTGAAGAATGGGAGCCTCTTGTATTATTGGCGGTTACAGTTTTGCTTGGACCAGTGGACGAGCGATCTAAAAATGTTATATATTGTAAATAATCAATCAAATCATTTAAGATAACCTGGAATTTGGTTGTCCTCATAACTACATTCCTTTTTAACATCGACAGTTAATGTATTGTCACTCTCCCACTGTATGGGAGCATAGTTTTTCATCGGTTCTTGACAAAAATTAGAGGCAACTGGAGGCACTCTCTGTGTTACAGAATATAGTGTGTTTGTTGAAGATGAAGGGTTATCTCTTTTCGAGTAATTATCCCTGAAAGTGGAAGGTTCTTCAAGGAAACGTGATTTAACTTCAAAATTTTGGTATTTTAATATTTAATTTCTTGGACTATACTTACCTATACTGATCACTAACATATTGGGCATTCTGGGACCCATAAAGCCTATTTCTTGGATATTCAACTGGAATGACGGTAACATTGTAATTAGAAGACTGAATTATGATTTGTTGACCTTCCTTTGTTTCAATACAGGTATTGGTTTCCATTTTACAAAGTATCTTAAAAGGGTATTAAATTATTGGTTCAAAACATCTTGCACGGGCAACCTCGGTAAAAAAATCAATACAAGCACAAACACCTACAACCAAGTATTTTTATCATTGTAAAATAAAAACGCTTAAGTTGGATGTGTTGGATTTATTGGTTACATCGTGATACCGTATGTAAGCATGTAAATAAAATTTTCTAACAAACGATACTGATTTAATTTTTAATAATTCGAACCACAGATAAAATGATAAAAACAAAACGGTTTAAAATTCTTAACGAAAAATCAAGGGGGCCCATAGAATAAAACAAACGCTCACATATTCCTTAGTTATATTTTCATTCCTAAGAGATATATGTAATTTAATCCATTTGTACTCGACACGAATATATAGATTGACAATGGCCATTTAAAGTTTGTTTAACTTTAACTGAATTTGTCCCGAATTTTATAAAAATACTACTTGCTCATTTATATTATATTTGTGATACTCGATAAATAATAACTTATTATATTTGAATAAATTTTTTAGCATGTAATTTTAATTAATATTTGTTTATTAAAATATCAACAAAAAGTTTAACGACGAGGATGGGATTCGAACCCACGCGGGCAGAGCCCATTGGATTAGCAGTCCAACGCCTTAACCACTCGGCCACCTCGTCTTATATAAATAACTGTCGGTAGAGATGTATAACTGTTTCGTCATATTTGAAGAAGATAAGAATTAATGCTGAATAATATGAGTTTTAATTCCTACGCTATTTTATACCATAGGGATTCATGCTAAGATCAGAAGGACGCGTGGAAGATAAAAAACATGCGCTGTTATTTATTGTGCAAGTGTTAATCATTGTATGATGTTGTTTTTTCATTAAATTTGAATTGAAAAGGTTGCTATGGCGACCTTTAAAAAAGGGGTAAATTACTATAACCCCTTTTGTCAGTGTAATTGTTTCGACAAGGCGTGATGCTATTCTTCGCAGGTGAATTCGTGACGTAATACTATTATTTCGATGATGTGTGTAGGTATGTAAACAACAACTCTATTTAGAATATAATAAATATAAATTTCATTTATGTATCTGGCTTGAAAATTCGTAGATCCCAATACCTATAGCTAACTAGTACGAGTAGCAAAAAAGTAAGAAAAATTTTTATTTTTGGAACACCTCTAGAAATATCAACAAGACCAGCATTCCTAAAAATTAAATTTTATTTTCAAAAACATGTATTTTTTTTTAATTACGCTCATCCCTATATAACATTCAATGAGACTCAACAATAATTTAATATGACCACACATAGTGAAACTAGCCAAGCAATTTAATTTGGAGTATGAAATTTTATTTAATTTAAGTTTGAGTGATTTTGCTTATAAAAGAGTACAGTGACGTCATGAGCAAAAATAGTGCATATCTTTTAGACTCCTTTAGATCGTTCTGTTGTAGCCTCTGCTATCACATAAACTTCACTTCACTTAAAGTGAATTTCTTATAAACAGTAGTAAAACAATAGAGAGGCAGAGGGAGAGAGAGAGAGAGAAACAAATCATTTTTATGCTGGCCGCGATGACGTCACTGTCATTAGAAAGAAGTTCAAGCATGTCGAAAACATTTGGTAAAAAAAAGCTTTGGTAGTTCGGGGCGAACTTCTAAAATATTAACGTATTTCGGATCGTTAGGTCATTTACTGCAGTTAAATTATTGAGGCGTATTGGTGCTGGAAATTACATTGGAATACATTCTTAGCGATTAAATTAATTAAAAAAAAATAAAGGTTGAGAGCCGCTATTATTGCTTGTTGATGATAGTGTAAGTGTAGATATAATATTAGGAGTTATTACTTAGTGCGTGCGCATTCAGATTTTTGATTGCAGGTGTTATTTAGTTAGCCAATTGTTAAGTAACATTTTATTATTATTTTTTATTATTACATTATATTTTTAATATATGTTTTAATATTTAAAAAGTTTGAACGAATTTATAAGACTACCTACCAATCACCTAAAAAAGCGATATCATTATGTATAGTAATAATTCTTCAAATCAATCAATCCTCATTTTTTATAATAGGTGTGTAAAAATAGAAAACATTAAAGAACTTTTGGAAATTGGAACCCTTTTCAATTTGTATTCAACCCCACACCTGACACCAGTTGATCTTATTAAAGAATTAGGCAAATTATTAAAGAATGATGTGTTATTTCTTACAAGTAAAAAAAAGAGTGTACTCAATTACGTTCTAGTTTTTTTGTTTAAATCTGGATTGAATTAAATTAGCTTAAAACACACATTTTTAATTATTTTCTGTGAAATGAAAACAAGTGAAACTGTGCCTCGTTGCATACGCGTACGACTTGTAGCAAACATTTAAGGTATATTAGAAAAAGAAGGATTTTTGCTTGACTTCAGAAATATATGACGTTTTGAGTTTAATACATAATATATAATATTCTACATCAAGAAGAGTATCAAAAACTAACTAACTTACATGTACATGCCAGAAAAGTGCAATGGTGCAAATTCAAAACTTACATTTTTTTCAAGAGAACTCGAGCAACATATCAAGTATGCTATATTTTTGAAAAGGTAATTTTAAGTTCTTTTCAATTATACGAAAATATATAAGGTGTCCCATATAAAGAAAAGATTTCTCGATTGATAACTAATAAAATTTTAATATTAAAAATATTATATTTAAGTCATCAAATTCTGCGTAACAAAAATGTTTTCATAACTAAAAAGTCGCAGCGATCTTTTTAAATGCAGATTTTTGTAAACACCCGATAACTGCAATAGGAGTTTTTAAAAGTGTAACTAACTGTAAGTTTTGAAGTTGTTGAAAATATACAAACATGAGATGGTTTCGAAGATAAATTAAAGGGAACACTGAATTTCAGATATACCGAAAATCATCAGTTAGAACAGTGGCTCGACTATTTTACGGCGAGATATTCATAAATATTCTCTAATCTTCGTAAGAATTGTAATAAAGTTTCAAAACTTCATATTTTTGGTTAGCAAATTTCTTTTTTTTTGGAGTTTGGAACCAAAATTAGAAATTTAGAAGTTCCACTAAAATCAACTTTTCTCTTATTGATAAATTCCTCGTTTTTGAAAAGTCGCGAGCATTAAAATAATTCCATTAAGTTAAAAAATCCGAATCATGGCGGTGCTGAAAATAACCTACAAATGATTCATGCTTTCCATCGCACATTTAGCGTTGTTTAATTAGTTCTTAAATCAGACAAATTTCTCGAATTTATACAAGGAAGATGGATCACGCGATCAAGCTGACGTTTATATTCGATTTAGAGGCGATAGAACACTTCGTGGAAAAGCTATCGGCCATAAAACGTTCCGATATTTGAGTTGATATTATTTTATTTACTATTACGAAGTTTCGCTAAAGTTTGTGGAAGTTTTCGTCACGATTTCTATCCCAATCTGGCACACGCTCAATTACTCAAAAAGTTTTGGGTACAAAAATGCGAAGCCAGTGTTTTTATTTAATTCTTAGCTATTGCAAGCATTTTCGATATAATGTTGAAATCAACTAAAATTGACTTGATTTAGGCCAAACAAACCGAATAAAAAGAGGGCGATGAGTAAGCAAAGTAAAAGCTGGTTTTGTTAAATGCATACTGGTGAATATAATTTTTCTGAAAAAAAAAAACTGAATTCGCGGGTAACAAAAGTGATATTTCAAAGAGAGTAGCTTTTAGTGATTTTTTTATGTGAAAAATGGTAAAAAAATACATTTAAAAAGTTAATAAACATAAAGTTATGCAAAGGTAACTAAAAATCATCTGGGTCAATTATCATAAGCAAAGACAAGTTTGAGAAGTATGAATATTGTGCCGTAATTATCGTGTAATTTTGGAAGACAGGAAAACAGGAAGGTGATAAAAAGAAAAATGTTTAAGCCTGAAGATAGGGAGGTGAATAGCAATAATTATTTTACTATCTGTAAACGTCACTTGAGTTCCCAGAAATTCGTAAAAACATAATGTATGATTAAATTTTAATAATTGGTTTATGCCATACATTAATTTTATCATTTTCCGAGACAGATGCTATTGAATTATGGAAAGCATCGGTATGAGCAAATACTATTGGGTTCTCTAAATTATCCAAGAAATTTATCAGTCTTTGACATTCCAATATAAGATTATTAATCGCTATAATTAGCTTTGATTACGAAGTAGGGTAGAAGTTGCAAAATAATAATTATCAATCAGCTGCTTTAGTAACGATATTTGGGAATTTAAAGTTATAAATACATTTGTATGGTTTGTTATCTTTCTGCGGATAATAGATGGCATCGTTATATATTTTTGCACCATTAGAATCAAGTCTGCTACATTAAGCAGTCTTTTTTGATCTATAATGAGGTTGAAAGTTTAAAATGTTTTCTATTTTACTATGTCTAAAGGCTAATTAACGACAATACAAATATTCAGGTCATGAGCATAAAATGAATACGCACTCTCAGAATTCAGAAAACAAGTTGCTGTGTCCTTTTAAAATAATGCAAAGAGCAAGGGACCCAAGTGTGAACCCTGCGGAACCCCAGAAATCACAACCAAGCACGCCTGATTCCATTAGCACCAACATACATAGTTCTACTTTGCAAATAGTTTTTTAAAGTTAAAAATTTGATATGGTTATAACCAAGAAGCTCCGAAAAAGTGTCGAAACATCCTGAAAACACCTCATAAATTTTCAGTGCGTTGCAGATTTTCAGATATATTTTTTGAAATATACAGTTCATTCAAATGTAATCTAGTGTTAATATTAACGGCATAATAGCTCATTTAAAACCCGAACACGTTGTATATTTTTGCACCTTCTAAAAGTTTTCACATTGCACGTAGAGCTTGTATAAAAATCGAGGAAACCATGGACTGAAGCTATGATCGTCATTTGTTATAAACTCCTGTTCAAAATTAAGGCACCATTTACATTTTCTGACTTAACCAATTAACCCCCAAATATTTGCATTTATTATTAGAAATCTTAGTTGCTTTTGTTATTTTTGTACAGTTTTTATTACTGTGCCATTTAGTTAAGTTAAAAAAGTTAAGTAGTTCACGTCATTTTTTCCAGGTTGATAAGTGATAAGTCTATTATTTCAAATTGCTGTTTGAGTGTTGGTTATTCTTTTGTGTGGATTAGTTTACTGGACAATATTTAACAACGTTACGAAAAGATTAACCTAGTACGTCATTTAAGCAATGCAAGAGTTTCAACTTTGCTAGAAGAGTGAAGAAATATGGGTTATGTGGCCAATTTACTAGCTGTTAATCATTCAACAATTAAGCGGATGGTTAGAAGACTTAAGGAAGTGGTTAGGGCTGGAAAAGGGTTACAGGACAGATTGCGATTTTTATTCTTTTTGCTACATTCAGAAAAATATCGCCAAAAAGGTATTGTAAAAATAATAATAACCACACTGACGATTAACATGGAACCCCAAAAAAGTATTTTGACTAATTGAATGCCTGTAGGTAATCACGACGGTGTGTCCCTGACCAGTAAAAGTGACCCATATTTTGAGCGGAAACGTTTTGCACGCGAGCTTTGCCAAAGCTTTCGTTTGACTAGTACATAAAACATGAAGAACATACCAAGCTGTCCGATACTTCCTTGTTTTAAGTAGTAATAGCATATTTTCCATAATTGTGCCGTAGGCTTTTGACATCCTAGATAACTAAAAAAAAAAGTAAAAACGAAAGCTTCATTTCTTTTTGGGCTCAGCACTTCCTGTCAATTGTTTTTTATTAATACTAAATTTCGGCTGGTTGTCAATTCTTATTAATGGAACATCTTGTATAGAATATTGAATTTTTAATTATTTTTTTAGGGTAACAAAAGAAATGTTTTTTTATCATAGAGTGCCGATCGTCACTTTCTCTCTCTCTCTCACTGAATTTCAACCGGATGACTATTTTTAAAAACATTTTTTTTTCGTATTTTTCCAACCTCAAAAGTTGAATTAAAAGTGGGAACAAATTTTGGAGATTT